CCATCTGGACCCAGGCATTGTGCGGCCAGTCTCCCGTTCCTCCCCCACTTCCCTGTAGGTGGGGTTTCCCTAGGAAATGGCCTTGGCAGGAAGCAGGCGAAGTCTCTGCATTGCTCTCAGATCTCCACTTGGGCTCCAGCACGGTGCTTTTTGTGGCAAGCACTCCTTCGACAACATATTGATCCTGAGAGAACTCCCCGGGGGCAGGAGAGCGAGGCCTTTCCTCTTCTCGCAACAGGAAAGGCGGTGGGAATGGGTCTTGCCTTGAGGAAGGGCCCCCAATGTCTCGTCGGCGTTCTAAACCTATCGTGGGATAGCCAGTTTTTCGGACAACCTCCTGTGTGAAAGGGCTTCCCTGGAGAATACAGTGGACATTCAGAAGGATGTTTTTGGCGTTGTATGTTCCAGTTCTGTGGTGGTCTTTCCTTCTTCTGGTGGATTGCCAGGAAGTCAACACCTTCAACGTGCACTATCAGGTGCCGGAGGAAAGACAGCCTGGGACTGTGTTGGGAAGGTTGTCTGAAGAACTGGGCTGGACAGAGGGCGGCCAGACCGCAGGGTCCTTCCAGCTGCTACAGCCCTCTGCTCTGCTTCCCATACAGATGGACTCTCAGGATGGTTTGCTACGCACCTTGGGGAGGATGGACAGGGAGCAGCTTTGCCCCCACAGAGACCTCTGTATCATCTCTTTCAGCGTTCTGGCTGCCAGATACCTAGCCCTGATCCATGTGGAGGTTCACGTCCTGGATATTAATGACAACGGGCCTCGGTTTCCCCAAATGTCAGTGGAGCTGGAGATATCCGAGAGTGTGCTGTTGCAGACACGAATCCCTTTGGATCGAGCCGTCGACCCAGATGCTGGCTCCAATGGTCTCTGTTCCTACCTCTTGTCACCCAATGAGCACTTTGCCTTGGAGGTAGCCGTCGGCTCTGATGGAACTCAGCAGGTGGAGCTTGTGGTCGTGAAAGAAGTGGACCGAGAACGCTACTCCTCTTTCCTTTTGACCGTGACCGCTGTCGATCGCGGCGAGCCCCCCAGATCTGGGAGTGCCTTCGTGAGGGTGACCGTGCTGGACTCCAACGATAACAGCCCGGCGTTCACCCAGAGTTCTGTGACTGTCGAGATGAGGGAAGATGCGTCGCCGGGGACTCTTTTGGTCAACCTCACTGCCACAGATCCCGACCAAGGCCTCAACGGAGAGATCGAATATTCCCTCAGCAAACACACCCCTGTGGAGGTGCTTAGGACGTTTACTATCGAGAGCCGGACAGGCCGTGTCCTCTTGCAGCAGCAGCTGGATTATGAGAAAAAATCTACCTATGAGGTGGACGTACAGGCCCGAGACCATGGAGCGAATCCCATCCCAGCCCACTGCAAGCTTTTGGTCCGGGTTGTAGATATCAATGACAACCTGCCTGAGGTCCATGTCATCTGGGCTGGACAGGCCGCAGTGGTGTCTGAAGCGCAGCCCAAAGACAGCTTTGTTGGTCTGGTGACACTCTCTGACCCAGACGCTGGTGATAACGGGAAGGTGGACTGCTATATTAGCCGAGGGGCTGAGCATTTCTCCTTGAGAAGGATCAGCCCCAGCAGCTACATGCTGCTCACCAACACCCCCCTGGACAGGGAGAACTGGGCAGAGCTTAACCTGACCTTGTTAGCACAGGACCGGGGGACCCCTTCACTGGCTGCCGCCAGAGATTTCACGGTTGACGTTGGCGATATCAA